TTGTAATAAAGAGCAAGAGCATGCAGGGTATTATATATACGTGTCAATTAAACATTCAGTAGGTCAACAATTTAAATGATCTTACCGATCATCAATCCTGTCGCAAACTCTGCTTCGTCTTTATGAGCAGCTGACTTTGATCTTTCACTGGGCTTGACAGGTGATGGTGCTTGCAGCCTGACATAAGATACACAGAAAAATACTTTTCTTCAGCTGATACCACTCAGCTGTGCCTTATTAAACTTTATGAGACCTGTGTTTTCTAATTGCAGTGTGCCACTAATGGTCTTTCTCTCTCCTCTGTTCAATATACTCAGATCTAGTGACTATTTCATTACAGTCCATCACGCTATTTAGAGCACAGTGAAATAAATCTTCTCCCTGTACCTACTGTATGCCCAGAATCCCCCAGTTAATTGAAGTCTGCCCGGCCACAAATCTCAAACAAAGATCAATGAAATTAATTTAATACCATCAGAAACGTAGTTCTATTTCCTATCAAGATTTAGCCAGGCCTTTACATTTCATGTGTCCTCTTTTCATTGTAGGCCTACTAATCTGCAAGTAAAGTTGTTTAAACATCCCAATATCTAGCTCTTAAAGCACTTCTGATGAACTTTTTCCCCAAAACAGAGTATGAAGTCTGACTCATTTAAAAAAATTCAGTTTACAGTGAATAATCTACTAATTTTTGGATGATGTCTTCATAAAATGCTAAGGAATAAATTATCATACTAATTCAATTGAAGGTAGTAGTTCAGGTGGGTAGCTGTGTCAGCATGCATAGGCATAGGCTTTATTTTTTTACAGAACTTATTTTAACAGACAAACAAGAAACAAAAGCAGAAGTATTATCAATATAAAACCAGTGGAAAGAAATAACAGTACTTTGGTTTAGATGCAGCTGAAAGGGGTTTCCTATTCAACCTCTCCTTGTAATCTTCTTCATAAGCAATTGGAGCTTCTTTGTCCCTTTTCTCCCTGTACACTCTGAAGGGTAAACACAGTAATGAAATACATTAGCGACCCTGTTCATTTCGTAATTCAACAACATGCAGTAGTATCTTTGCTTATGAAAAGAAATATCAAAATTGAACAGTCCATACTATTATATAAAAAGGGGTCTAGTATGATTATTACAAATAACTTACAAATCAGATACAGCATAATATACAATGAAACATACAATGAAATAAAAAGCTACTTTTAGGCATGTTTGTACTGTAAATGACACCTGTTTTCATTTCTGTGTCGCTGAACATAGTGATCCATTTCTGGATAATCATCACAGTCATCAATTCTTCTGTCTCTGAGCCTTGGCATGTCTCTGGAAAAAGAGAAATTAGTGTTCTCACGAGTAGAAAAATACCATTTAATATCTAATGCATTTACATATGACTTTGTTTAATCCCAAAACACTTTACACACAGGAGGAGGCCCATAACAGGGGAAGAAATGAGAAATTCTCAGTTGAATTAGAAGTAAAATTTAAGCCAAGAGCAGAATTTAGCTAAGACACCATTATAATATTTCCAAGGTGATCGTTAATCAGCATGTAGTCAGGACTTCAGTTTAAGGTCGTATCCAAAGGATCGCCTACAGCAATTCAGGCAATTCTGTACAGTGGGAAGAGAGGCACCTAGTGGTCAACTAACACCACCTACAGTAACAACCTGGTTTTCCTTAAGGTCTCCCAGCACAGTAGTAACCAGGCTCAGCCTTGCACAGCTGCTGAGGTCTGATGGCAGGCAATACTTTAGTCCGTGACAAAAAATGTGAATATGAATTACAAATCTAATATGGGGTTTAAAAGCTAAAGTCTGTATAAAGATAAAGAAAAATACATGCAATGACAGCAAGACCCTAAGAAGTCTGCAATGTAAGAAACAATTAAAAATGTAAAGAGGTTTCAGTCAGTACCTCTCTGGTCTGTAGTAAACTCGGCGCTGCCTTTTCTCCACGATGCCAGGCTCTTCCCTCAGCCTGTGCCGTCTTCGCGCCTGGAGTTCGGGAGGCTCTTCATCGGAGTCGAGGTAGTGCTGAAAGTCCTCGTCGGAGCCGGGGTCGAGCCTGATGAGCCGGGGCCTCCTTTCCCGGATTTCGTGCTCCTCTTCCATGCGGCGGCTCCTGCCCTCCCCCTGCCTCCGGCCCCTCATCGGGGCCCCCAAGTCCTCCGTGAAGGTGGCAGCGTCTCTCCGCGGGGGGGGGTACTCGCGCAGCACGGGGGCTCTCGGGCTCAGGTACACCTCGGGCAACAGTTCAGGTGGGACCATCGGAGCACCAGCGCGCTCGACATCTCTGTCCTCATCCTGCAGTCACACGTGAAGGATGAAACAGGATTACTGCTATAGATGGCTATGAAAACCAATGGCTAGGTCTGGCACTTGCACCCCAGAATAATAATTGCCAGAATTTGCATAGTGTTTATGAGAATAATCCTATCACCTATATAGCACTTTTCTGGACACTCCACCCAAAGCACTTTACTACAGTTTAGTGGGGACGCCCCTCCACCACCACCAGTGTGTAGCCCCCACCTGGATGATGCGACAGCAGCCATAGTGCACCAGAACACTCCCCACACACCAGCTCTCAGTGGGGGAGGAGGACAGAGTGATGAAGCCAGTTCAGAGGTAGGGATTATTAGGAGGCCATCACTGGTAAAGGCCAGGGGAAATTTGGCCAGGGCACTGGGGTAACATCCAGACTCTTTTTGGGAAACACCCTGGAATTTTTAATGAACACAGACAGTCAGAGCCACGGTTTTAATGTCTCATCCGAAGGATAGTGCCATTTTACAGTGCAGTGCCCCCATCACTATACTGGGGCATTAGGACTCACACAGACCACAGGGTGAGCGCCCCCTACTGATCCCACTAACACCTCTTCCTGCAGCAACCTTAGCTTTCCCAGGAGGTCTCAGGTATGGGCCAGACTCACCTGCTGAGCCTGAGTGGGTTACCAGCTGGGGGTTGCAGGGTGATATATCTAATCACCCAAAGTATTTCACTGACAGGAGGGAACCCACTTAATTTACTCCTGACATGCAGTACCCATTTGGGGGATATCCAACAATCAGAGTATACTGGAAAAGCCTAAGTAATTTGAACGAAAACATACAAACTCCACACAGACTCAAACTCAAAATCAAACTCACACTCAAGATATTGGAACTTGGAGGCACCAGTGACAAACGCCACACCCCAACACCTCCAGAAATAAAGTTAAAATAGTGCGATAATAGGCTTTGCTCAGAATAATTCTACTATTTCCTATAAATTCTTTGCTTAACCGAAACCTGGCACAGACAAAACGATGGACTGCTGTTTAACCAACTAGCCCCCCCGGATTAAGTTTGTCTGACCTTCCGAGTGTCTCAGGCAGAGGCGGGGGCATCAATGTTATTTACAACCTTTCTACAATTTAAGTCCTATGACTATACCTCCACCCTCCTCCTGACTTATTGTAAATGTTTCTATCCCCCAATCTACTATCATTGCTACAGTTTATAGAACACCCAAACCCAGTGAAGCCTTCTTAGGTGAGTTTGCTGATTTACTCTCATTTTTATGCCTAACGTTTAAAAGGATCCTTATTCTAGGGGACTTCAATTTATACATTGACTCAAGGTCTTCCAGTCTAGCAAGAGCCTTCCTTTCTCTATTGGGATGTTTTGATCTTACTCAGTTTCTTTGTACTCCTACACATAAAGGACACACCCTAGATTTAATTATTGCAAAATACAGTTACTTGACAGTGCTCTTTTATCTACCCTTGACACCCTTGCTCCTTTAAAAACTCGAACCATCTCCTTCTCTTGCCCTGCCCCCTGGTACAACGATCATCTGCGATCTATGAAGCCACCCTCTCACAAACTTGAGCGCAGGTGGCGACTTCCTGGCCTAAATGTACATTACCAGGCTTGGAGAGATTACCTGTCTGGATATAAGGTTACGATAGAGTCTGCTAGATCCACCTACTTCTCTAACATCATTGAAAACTATGATAACAACCCCAGACATCTCTTCTCCACCATCAACAGCTTGCTAAAGCCAAACTGCCCCACCACACTACCTGCCTCATCACAACTTTGCAACACTTCTTAGATTTCTTTAGTTCCAAGATTGACAACATCCGGCATCACATTCTCTTCACTACACATCATTTCCATACCTCCTCCCTCCTTATCCAACTTTTCTGGTTCCCTTCTTTCCAGTTTCTCTGGAAAATGTTTTATATCCCTCAATAAACTAGTTACACATCTGAAACCCACCACTCACCTCAATGATCGCTGTCACTTTGTCTCTCTTAATAGGCATAGGTCTGAAATTGGTCTTGTTAAGTCTGCCCAAGGATATCAGAGAGTCACCTTCTCTAAACTCATTCAAATCCAGACTCAAAACTAAAAAAAAAAAGCCTTTACTTAACTGGTTCCATTCTTCACCCCCCTGATTTTCTTAGTACCACCATCCTCAGTCTCCTCTGTATATTGTAACTGTTTCATCTTATGTATTCTTTTTATTTATTGTTGTCATTCTGTAAATCACTTTGAGAAGCCACCTTTAGAGGTGCTATATAAAATAAAGTTTATTATAAATTAGAAAAAATTGGTTTTCTTATTGGATAAACATTGACAGTATTTTAATTATTGCAAAAAGAACAAATCTTGCATTTGAGTGAGAAAAATGTGATTTTGGAGCAGCAAGCTACTGAAATGGAGTTCAGACTTTCTTGCAAATGTTTTAGAAGTTCACTTATATTTTGTATTCTTATCGTATATTACAATAAAACTATCAATAAATCAAGTTTGGAAAGTGAAGTGGATCAAAATATAGAAACAATCAACAGTAAGGCAATTAATATCTCAGCCTCAAGAAAATGTAGCCTCAAGCCACATAACAACCTCAAAAAAGTAACTGTATTAAAGTACACCTAAAGTGTTAGTCCTGACATGTCAAATCAAATGTCATAACATGTCAAATCAAAGTATGAATTCATGAATAAAACTGCAACCTTCACTCTGAAACTCAGAAAGATACCCATGAGATTACCTGAGACAAGTCCTTTGCTTCTCGCTTCAATGTGCTGTGCTCCTGCTGTCCCCTGAGAAACTGATTATACTCCTTGTTTCTTTCACTTCGCAATCGGTCCTGCAACAGAGGACAAACAAGGACATCATTTCCCAATCTAAAATGTTACAGAAAATAAAATCAATTATCTAACTCTTGCAATCTGCAACCAATTGATTTTGAAATAAAAAACTCTTGTAACCAGCTTTATTTAATCAGGATAAAAGCATTCAAGACAAACTGGACATCAAAATTCACTGTTTCCATACCTTTAACCTGGATTTGACAGGAATACTCATTAAGCATTTCTCATGGTCAGGAAAAAGTTTCACATTTAAGGAAAAGGCTTGTCACTATGCTTTTCAAAAATGATAAACTCCAAGCTCTAGTCCACTTTGTAATTATTAGAGTAACATAACAACTCATGCTGTATTTTGTTTTCCACTGAATGAAATTAAACCTTATTAGAATTAACCTGTAAAAATCATTAAAAATCCCGAATGAAAAAATCTAGATTTAGCACATTCTTACCTTACAAGCAGGAATATAAACTAAAGTTAAAATCAATGCAAAACAGTTGCTATGTTACTTATGTCAAATCCTTAATAAAATGATAGAGGCAAAATAGCACTACATTTCAGTGATTCCGCAAAATTAGAGAGTAGAATGAGCACCATGTAAGGTACAATCTGTTCACCTCTGTAATTTCACACCGCCTAGATAGATGTACACTGAAACCGTTGCTCAGTTACAGGCTTTCACAAACTCATCTGAGTGTTTGCTTACAACTCCCCTGACAAACAAACTTTATTAATATGACGGCTTCTACTCTAAAGCAAGCAACATCTTCTTTCATTTGCATTTATATCTGTGCCTCCATACGTACACCATAAGGAAAACTACTCCCTGTTCCATTTAGTATTTACAATCCTGCTATTGAACTTTTCAAAACAAAACCACAGCTGATTATGGTTTGAGTCAACGACTCCTTGCGATTTGAAAAAAAGCTGTGAATTAGTACACTAACATAGTCAATTTTAGGATTTACTAAACACTTTGTACATGGATCCAGCCAGGCTGAAAGAGCTGATGAGTGGCATAAAGCCCTCAGTCTTAAATCAAGTCCTGCGTCCAGGGACTAAGCTTCAGGAAATCCTGCTCGTAACCAAGGAATTAATGCAAAAAATTATGAGTCTCTTAGCAACAGACCACCTTGACATTTTTGAAGGCGATACCATCAGTTCTTTCAAAAACAGGTGAAAGAGATCTTCAGATCAATTAGATATTAAAAACCAAACCAGCTACAATGTCCTCCGAATGTAGTAAGTCAAACAATATTTGTGATTTACAGTCAATCAATTTGTACTTGTGATCATGCGATTAACAAACAATAAGTACATTGCAAATATAAATATCTATATATAGCCTATACATATCCAGTAATATACACAGATGCTAACAGGTCTTGGGTCTTGTTGACTTTATTTACTTTCTTTGCAGGTAATAGGATTTTGGTGCCAGTCAGATTCTGTCCATATTTTTCAGTTCCCTGGCGCAAAGTCTCATGGAATAACCATCTGGTATAACAGTCTTTCTGTGCAACGAGAAGCTGAGATGCCCAGAGTCTTGAGCATGTGCCACATGAGCAGTCAAACTGCTTACATTAAGACTATGCCGAGACTAGCTGTTATTATCTCTTCTGATCCTTTGCGGTTCTGCATGAAGAATGCCTTCAATCGGTTGTTTTAAAGTCCTTCAATGTAGACATAAAACTCAAACTACTCAATCAATAAATGAGTTCACAATAAGGGAGTACTGGTCGACTCTAATGCAATCAGTGATTATGTGGAAGAATGAAGGGGTATGGTGCAATTACATGGACGCAGGGTGATCTGGGGGGAATTAAACTTACAGGTTCTGGTAAACTGAGTGGATTCCTGTAGGAGTTGTGCAAAATGATATTGTATGGGTTGATGTCATTTATGTAATGTTCAATTTATTTTTAATGTAACCATTATTTGTAATGTTTACATGTTTTTGTATGTCCTGTGTAAAACAGTTCTATGTGGACACAAACGTCTGAGAAATTAGCTAACATATTAACAAATAATTTGTATGCGTTTGAACCATTATTAAAACAACACACTTTCTGTTAAATTCAGCGATTTCAAGCGACCACAAAAATTGGGAAACTTCCACTTAAAGTGTAAAGTTAAATATGCCAGACGAAAACGCTCTCATACTTAATGGGTGGTGCTTCACCATGCAGCCAACTTGAAATGATTCAAAACCAGCCAAGGCATTCATCAAGAGAAAAGGTGGAAAAATCTTGCACCGGCCAAGTTAATCTCCTCAGAGCACAGGGTCAGCCATTTTATATGGCGCCCCTGGAGCAGTTGGGGTCAAGGGCCTTGCTCAGGGGCCCAATGGACTAGGAATCCTCTACCAGCCGCAGGATTCGAACCGGCAACCTTCCAGCCACAGGCGCAGATCCTTAGCCACAGAGCCCCCGCACCACACCATAAAGCTCAGTAAATACAGTAATCCATAACTGCACTACTTTGGTGCAATACATAATACACCTTAACATGTTGGTGAATAAGCAATAAGTTCCAACCACAATGATAAGTCATACTGTCTACCTTTGCAGATCTTCTTTCGCCAATTGGTAGTGAAAGGCCCTGGGCGTTCACATCCGTCTCCCCACTACTGTTATTTTTTTTCTAAAACAAAAAAAAAATAAAATTAGAATGCAGAGAAAGCAATTCTACAACGTTAAAATTTGGAAATGTAAAATCTTTGGTGAGGCATAAATATTTTAAAAATGCAATTGTGAAAAGTTTTAACAGACCATGATTTTGCTCTACATCATCAAACTTCAAAGGTCGATTTTATATACAAACTATGCCACTTTTAGATAAGCTTCTTTTTGTATGTTACCTTAGTAGTATACAGTGATTAGCTGTTGATGAGGCAGAAGTGTTTGATCCTCTGTGGTGCTTAAAGGATATTATTGTTACCAATTACAGAAAAACATCCGTTGCAATTTTCAGATCGCTTGTAAAGTAGCCCGACTAATCTGCTTGTCTAAATTAGTGTTAATTTCAAGAAATTAAAATGTTGATTTAACAGATTAAATGAGTATTACCAATCTTTAGAAATGTAGCACATTACTAAATCTAGGCAGGATGCAAAGATTGCAATGCAAAGATTGCTAGAAAAGCAAATCTGAGTGCATAGGAATCAGTGCTCTTAACCAAACAGCTATGCTTCTAAAAAGCTACTCTTGAACAAGTTTAAAGAGACAGTTACCTTTCTTCTACCTCGAGTTAATTCCTGCAAGTTATTGGGAAAACAGTTTAGAAAGCAGAAAGAAATACTGTACCAACAAACATTCAGGAAAAATAATTAAAGCATTACAGTTCTAAGAAACAATTACTAACATATGTAACAGAAATGACTTAATTCAGCAGAAAAAGATCCATATGCCATTTCCTAAGGGTTAGGTGCAGGTCACCTGAGCCATATAGCGCCTGTAATCCTGACGCAGCTCTTGTTTTAGCTTATGCTTCTTTCTCTCATAATCTTCACCGAGCGGCAAACTCAAGCCATAGGTCTCATCTGAAATACAGAAGAACAAATGAGAGGTGTTTTATACAGTTTTGTATGGGGGGGGGGTCATGAAAACCGCACAGAGAAATAAATGCACCAGGTCTCTGTTGTGAACGAGTGCAATTGATAGCACAGTAGTTAATATGTGAAAAGAGTTAGGTTACTGCCAAAGGCATGCATCCCTGAACAGAAACGCAGTCGATGTGTCTTGAGCAATGATTGTTGGCACTGCTTCTAAGCCGAGTACATATAGTCCTTAGTTGAATTGGTCCCTGCTGCAGCTAGGCTGATGTGGCAGCTCATCATTCTTATTTTCTTAACTGGAACTGTGGACGGCAGAATGATTCCTCCGAGAAAGTTTAAAGGGGAACTGGAAAACTATTTTTATATTTCAAGGTTAGAAAGAATCAACATTAATGAGTGCATATCACAATGAATGTAAATGCAAGTACAATGAAAGTAAAATGTACACAGTAACATGTAAAACCTCCAAGCTACATCACAAAATTGATTAACTTTCCATGCATGTGCAGCGCTATCTTCTGCGATTCAGAAAGAGGCAACAATACTTCCAGTGAGCTGAAGCAGCCCTATTCCATTGTAAACAAACAGGCCTGTGAACACATCGCTTCTAATCCAAGAGAAATAATGCTCTCGACTTCGAGACTGTTTCGCTGACAAATACTACTTGTTTACTCTGCATGCAGATCACGTTGAAACATTTCTGCAGTGAAATGTCTGATGCACAACCTGTAACTATGCACTCATATATGCCATTACATTAGTCATTACAGTGACTAGTGAGCAGGAAGGGCCATTTCACATCACAAGTCTCCGGAAGTCTCGCTCTCGCCCATGGTGAGAGCAGTGGGTTCTGACAAAATGGAGACTATACAGTATTTCCAAAAGATTACAATTTGTACTTAATTCAGAAATTGTAAAATATTACGATACTGTCAATTAATTTAGTTTGTTAATTGCATATATCTGTAAAATCCAATGACTTCATGTACTCTCTATATACAATTTTTATGTTCACTCAGTTAGGCTAAAGAAAAATGTCCACAGTATGTAAACAATAAGAAATATTTGGACTCCAGGACTACAGTAGCAGCTCCAGGACAACAGTGAAATCCAAAAATGACAGTATCCCTGCAGGGTAGACAGTCCCATGGCGCCTGCAAAGGAACCACTAGGTCAGGCAGTAAGAGTGGACAGGGAGCCAATGGGCATGGTCATGGGAAGCTGACATGTTGGCCAGATAAACCTAAAGGATGGACACAGGCTTCCTTTCAGCCAGAAACCCCTTGAAGAAAACGGAATGACCAAAGGCAGGCAGAATACAGGATTCCAACCCCATTACAGGACAATGAAGGATGCATGACCACTGCTGAAAGCCCCAGGCTGGACAGTGCCAATCAGACAACAAACTCCTAGATGCAGAAGGTCAGGGTAAAGATCCCCTGCACCCCTGCCTGGATAAAAAGGTTCTAGCACAGCAGGAGTTGCCAGGGACAGCAGCCCAGGAGCTGGATCAAAAGCAGGAACAACAGATGATGAAATACTTGTTTAGAGAAATGTCATCAGCTCTTGGGGTCAATGCCAAGCTGTGCTTCATTACAATGATCTCCCCAAAGACAGAGGCATAATTTAATCTTCCCATAACACTTTTAGACACATTCATGCCAGCATTCTTCAAGCAAGTCTCTCAAGCCCTGCCTGATATACCAGGCCATGCTATCAGGCGTGGATGAGTGCGTTTGCTCAGTTTTATATTTGGTGCTACACCACACCAAAGGACAACAAACAAATATAATGAGAACAAAGACTGATGTTATCTTGACATTTTATTATAGGCAGATACTGTTGAAATCTGAAGTCAACAAAATCAACGCTTGCTATACTTCGATACTAATTTGAAACCTGTCTATCATGAATACCATGGCTAATGTCACTGTGCTCAAAAGTATTTCATCATTTCAAGTTGTACTTTAGTTGCAAACTACAGTCAGGCCTATATAGTTGGTCTCACCTGGTCCACCAAGGTAACCAACAGTTTTAATATTGCCCTCCTACCACCCCTTCCTTAAGGTCAATAACAGAAACACCTTGCTATGGGACATTACCTTTTCCATGCTCGTTCTGAGGTTTCTGTGGCGAGGACCACTTGTAAGGAGGAATATTTTCCTTAATCGCAGAGTTGTACACATTGTCAGCCTTTGTCTGGAAAAAAAATAAAATTCAATTATTCACAAGAAAAACTAAAAACAAAATAGGTTTTCATTTCAGCCATATAAAATCCACAAATAATTTCTTCTCTTGTTCCTAAATAAGGCATGAGCGACACACCAATTTTAATAAACTAGATGATTTCCAGACTGTTTCCCAACTTTCATTTAACACTCTCCTGAGTGTTTTCAGCATAGCCTGATTGAACGTAATCCTGCAGCTACTGTGCTTTGTAAAAGTATTCAACCCCGTCCAATTTTGTGGAAGTACAAATGATGCATGCACTTTAAAAACGTGTGTTAACTGTAAGAAAAACTTTGAAGCTTTAATTGAACACTTTCTGATGGCAAAGTCAGCAAATGTTGCATATCAGATGGACATCATTAGAAGAAGGTGAACATCAACAGGCAAATTGTAAATTGTGTTTCTGACTGAGTGACTCACCACTGGTATTTAGACAGAGAACATCAAAAGTCCAAATGACAATCAAATCAGAACTAAACATGTATAACTGCAGAATATCACCTACTAGGCCTATATATTGGAGATGCCTACGTTTTCTTTCTGCTTTACGTAAAACAAAAATCAAACAATCAAAATCAATAATCATAATTGATTTGGATACTCACTTAGCACACTTCTAAACTCATCCAGGACAAAGCACACTGCTCTTCCTGTATCATCATAACCTTACACCCCTGCAACTTGATGTTTTCACTCACATAGATGGTGAGTCACTGCAAGCTGGCACAAAGATTGCTAAGATCTGCACAAAACTGGGGATCATAGTCAAATTAATTCTGCTATGCCTCTTACAAAACGTGAGGATGTATGGCAGTGCCATTGATTCTCTTGGCCTGCTGGTGCAGATGTTTTATTTATGGACCCGCATGGAAGGCTAAATATAGTACAGCCTAGCTGCAGTCTCTGATAGCTTCACAGTCTCTAGCACAAATCAGAGACCCAACTTCAGCTCAGTCCTGTCCTACCCTCTTTCAACTAACTGGATTTTTAATTTCTGGTTAGGGATTCTATCTATATACTCATTACACTTGCACCTGATTCTGCTCTATCAGAGATGTATAGTGATTTAGTTTGATATGACCCTGCATATTACACTTATTTCTGTTTTCTGCACTAGATATCCACTTCAGTACAAGAAAAAGAGAAAGGAGACTCCTAGCTCAGGACAGCTGGATCATTTTCACTGTTAATAAAACAGAGAATCACACCCAAGCCAAAATCAATTTTAATTTTCATACATTACTTTTAGTGAAATCCATGCATGAGCCATACTACATTAAACTTGAAATGGATCAAACTGCTTTGTTTGATCAAGCATCCACCAATTTATCATAAGTAAAACCACTAACATACCCTGGCTTCATTTTGCTTCTATTATTTCAAAGTATGGCTTTCTATTCCAAAGCAACAAGAAAAGGCATAATTCAAACACTGAAATAACATCAAGTCGTTCTAGTCGAATCAGGACAGATCATTATATTTGTGAAGGATTTAAACATACCTTTTATGGCTGTTGGCTAAGTGTCTTTGTGAGCACACAAGCACTGATTTTTAAAAACAATTATTCCCTCTGAAGCACAAAGAAGTAAGAGAAATGTAGAAATAAAAGAATGAGATTGATGCCTGGGTACAAATAGCTTAATAATACATAAAATTTAATTTTTTAAATCTATATATAAAAAAATCAACAACAATCAAAACCATTCAGTAAAAGGAACAGCAAAAACGGCACATATATGCATTTAGGAACAAAAGCAACTCATAAATAAAACAAGCATATAACCGTTTCTCTGCACAGTGACCATTCTGCAAAACATGCTTTCCAACAACCCAAGAGTTTCCGGATACTGTCCTGGTAAATGCACTGAAAATGTTAAGGCCTGCATAGAAATCAGTTTCAGAGACCATCTCTCAGGGGTTTACAACGTCACTAACTGAAAGGGCCAAAAGCTGGAGAGCAGTAAGGCTGGATAGTAGGGTAGAGGCTGAAAGTGCAGCCAGTACAAAGCGCTGATTAACCCCACTGCAGGGTGCCTGGAGTCAGCCATGAGTGTGACACAGTGCAGTGCTCTGGAGAACTGCCCGAAGCCAGCGATTCACTGATAACGGTGTGGAAAACGAAGACAGGGTGGGAGGTTTCAAATGATATTGCAAGTGTTAATTAATAAGTTATTTAACATTAACTCTGGAATTTTCCATATTAATATTCATATCTCATTATTAAGTAACTGTAGTAATCCCATTTATAAATTCATGCAAAGCGCTATCTGCATCTATTTGACTTGTTTGCAAGGAATTTCTCCCAAGATCCATGTTAATTAGTATGCCAAAAACAATGTATTTGCAAACATAATCTAATATGCCTACACTACCAAATTATAACTATAGATGTACCATTTTTATCACTAATATAGATCTGATCACCTTGAGCAACCATATATTTTTTCAACATATAAAGAGAACCCCATTAAGTCTTGAAAAATGAAAGGCCACTATATGACTGAAAATCTAATGAAACATGAGAAAACGTAATTCATAAAACTGGATAAGAATTAATGTTTCTGCATTTTTTGTCTACTTTGTGCCTGTCACCACTGTAAATCAACCCCGACGAGGCACTGTGCTTTTCAAATACACTAGTATTAATAATAACAAAATGTGTAATTGCAGGCAATAAATACAAAGAAAATAACACATGGAGTAAGAGGGATCTCTTACAGCACAAAGCAAAGATCCACATGGAATGAGCAAATGTTGCTCTTTCTCTAGTTTAAAAATGCACAGCAAGATTACACAAGTGACCTGCTATTGGACAGCATTTTTCTTATATTCACCCCACATGCATGTAAAACGTTAGCATACTGCTCAGGACCTACAACTAACATCGCTGTGCTTATTAATCACAGTGGTCCAAATGAGCTTAGTGTAAGAGACTAAACTGTTTGACATGCTCAATAAAAGTGGCAAGAGGTGTAATGTCAATGAGCTATAAGGATCAAGGCCCTGTTTCCATTACATTAATTCAGAAATTTCCTGAGCAATTTGTTTTCCTAACATTACTGAGCTGTGTAGATAAACATCCCTTGCAGCCAAGGCTTTTACTGGAAGACAAGTTGGCTAAAATAACTACCGTTTAAGAGTCCCCAGCGAGATGCTATGTTGCAGCTTGAAAGATCAAGACCATA